AAAAGTACAGTGTAGACTTTGGTTGCAGAGTCCCTGCTTCAGTTGATGTTCAGAAAATTTGGAATATGGCAAATTGATGTAGTGTAAATAAGACCAACAAGGTTGATTCTAATATACATATCCCTTCTCATAAGAGTAAAGGATTTTTTTTTTTTTTTGTAAATTGTCTTGAACAAAGTAGAAAGACAATAACTATGTTAATAAAAAATACTATTAAATGATGTTTCAAGATGGAGATTAATAAGTGGTAGCAATGAAAGACAAAATTTGAAGACGAGTTTTTGCAAAAATGAATTTCTTGAGACAACAAACTGGAAATTGACTGTGAAAATTCATACGGTTGCAAGAACCACTGACAATTGATGGAAAACTGCAGTTGTTCCCTGCTCAGTCAATGTCCGACTCATGATTCACAGAAGATCTTACTGTCCTGCACGTATTCTCAGGATAATCATCATCTTCGTCATCTTCATCATCTTTCTTCTCACTAATTACACCTTTCTTTAGCAGTAGCACCTCTAGTGTCTTAGTGCTGAAATCATCTTTTCCTCCAAGATCTTGGAAGCCAACCACTCTCTCAAATACAATTCCCTTTTTGCAGGGTAACATCCCATGTTATCAATTTGAATATGATTAACGAAACAGGTTTTCTAACTTCAGTATTTAACAGAAACTGCGCAAAATATATATTCATATTGGCTAATGTTCCATTTGTTTGAGTGGGTTTATCACAGGGAATTCAACTGCTGCTTTAGTAGTTAATACTTGGGTTGAGCGAGGAAATAGAAAACAAACTCAGGAATGTGATAACCATGATAATTAGAAAACAAACTCTGAAATGTCTTCTCAGAATTCTTGTCATCCCTCTCCTGGAGGAAACAATGCCACGATGTAGATAGGCATTTTAATATATTCAGGAAGGCATGAGAAAAAAATAGAATATATAGACAGCAACAAAGACTGTTGACCTGAAAAAATATGGCACAAGGCAACGTTTTGACGGCAAGTTTGGCAACAAAGAAAGGTGCATTCGGCATATTACATACAAAGATGAGTCTCTCTTATAACGTACATGATTATGCATTCACCAGATAAAACCAGAATCTAAAGCTTGGAGAACTAGTTGATGAGAAATGATGATGATCTCCACGCCCCGCTCGAGGACCTAATCCAATTTCTTAAGGTGAAGAAGAGGGAAAATGAGGAGGAAAAGGCAAAGAAGAATCCTGCGCAACAAGAATCGACAGCTAGTGGGGGACAAACTGAGGAAGAGAACAAAAGTAGAGAATTAATTTAGTATCACTACAAGAAAAATGATTTTTAGTTATAAAAATTTGTGATGAATTTTAAAATTATCATTATAACTTATTACAGATGCATACATATTTAATGATGAACAAAAAAATTCATCATAAAAAATATATTTCATCACCGAAAAATATTCATAAAGATAAAATAAACTTTTGTCAATAAAAATCATAACTATAATGCATTACAATTATGACAAAATTCTAATATTGATCACATATACTTTACACATTCAATGATAACCAAATAATTCGTCATTAAAAACTATCAATTTTCTCTAATAAATGCATCCCACATCGATAAAAAACACATAAAAAAATAAGGTTTTGCACTATAAATATATCCCACATCAATAAAAAATATTTAAGAAAATAAATTTTTGCATTATAAAATATGTGAAACTCAATAAAACTTGAGATTAGTTTGAGCCTAATTAATTTTAATTGAGTGTGATTAATTTTAATTGGGCTTGATTAATTTTAATCAAAATTGATTAGTATTGAAATAATAATATTTTTTATTAAACTTTTGTG